CTAAACCCAAGAACAAAAATGTAATATATTGCAGCTTCCCAGTCCTTAGGTGTGGTGGCTGCATTAGTTTTCTTTAAAAAGATTTGGCAAGCACAGTCCTTTTAGTATATGACTAATGTAAGGAGGTTAGTCTGTGGTAAAGTTCTTCAAACTAGTTGCCTGACTTGCCATCTCTGACCCTCTGGCTTATGTAATCTCTGAGCTATGAAAGTTAGAGAAGGAGAGATCAGCAGCTTACATGTCCCCCTTGAATTATACACTCTGTATTTATTCTGCCTCCAGAACTTGAGCAACTTTCACATGGAAATCAATTTTCTCTGTGCCCATATACCTGAAATGTACACATAGCATTGGCTAGAATGTCTAGGACAGGCTTTTATGGTCCCCGTTGTACAATAACTTTTATATTTACCAATGACTATATAGCGCAATGGCCTGTTTGATTGGGTACAAAGCTCATGGATTTTTTAAGGTAGATCCTCAAGCTATATAGTTTTGGTAAACCTAAAGCTGACCATAGACGTCTTTGGTAAATGTTCCAGAATGTTAAGCAATGAATTTGCTCAATTTGCATCTAATTAGGCAGGTCCTTGTACAACATAGTTAATGGTGGATCTAAAGGAAATTGTACATTCAGACTGTAATATGTATATTTTAAGTAATACCTTAAAGGAGATTGTACAACGTTTGGCAGTTTAAGAATCTGTTCTTTCTGATTGTCAGGTTTTTTTTTTAATTCATGAACCACATCATCTTACTTTATGCTTTGCCACAGGCCTTGAATTGTATAATGGAAATGGTGGAAAAGACAAGGCGTTCCATGTCAGTGCTTCGTAGGTGTCAAGAAGTGGACAGAGAGGAGCTGAATTACTGGAAGAGACGGTACAATGAATCCTCAGAACTGCGCAAAGGGAGCGAGCACTCAAGCAGGCAACACAGTCCTTCCAGTACTGAATCTGGTGCCAATGGTAAGAACATCTTGGTTTACATTACTAGCTGACCGAGGTTTGACACAATGTGTGGGTTTGTAATATGCTTTATCCCCAAAGGGAAAATATTACCTACATAGCCACTGGTAGAAATAATTCATCATCTAGAACAAAGATGTGTGCTTACCCATGACAACTAGTCAGATATCACGGTTCATCTGTCGGGTATATTCATACTAATGAGCAATGGTTGGCTTGATGCCCACACCTATTCCTACACACAGCTTTTTGTCTTATTGATAACAAATATATTCTGTCTTGTTAAAAAGTGTCTGAAATATACGACTTTCATTGCTGCTATTTGTACAGATGTATCTCTTGTTTTAGAGTGCAGCATCTGAAAATTGTAGCCAATAGCACTTAAGGAGTGCTAGAATGTCATATGTTAATATTGTCTAAGACCCTTTTGCATACTGTTGGTGCACTTTTGAAAGTCCAAAGTTTTATGGTTAACTTGATGATTTAGGGCCCTTTTCTATTCCTTTAAATCTATATTGTTTATCCCACCTTCTTTGAAGCTTGACACCCCATTCCACTGCCAAACCTGCAGGCCAAGTGACCACTCTTCATCTGTGGTGTTTGAAAGGGTCAGTCCATCATGCTTTTTGCAGGTGCTGGAGAGTTACGGTAATCCAGTTGACAGTTTCTTATATCTCAGATACTGTATTAATGAGACCTATGCACTGAGTTCCTGCCTGAAAACATACTGTGCCCCTTTTGAGGGGTTCCCTCTCTCTCTCTGTTGGATTTTGAGTTATTGTTATGGTGAATGCAACAGGAGGAGCTGGAACACACAAAGGTGGGTGGAAACACTCAAACCATTGTGACTTAGTTCCAGTCCACCTGGAATAATAGTTAGTAGATGTTGCTGTTGGAGTATACAGCACATATATGACACCAGGGGATGAATCACCCACCAGGCTTGACGTCTTCTAAAATATCACTTTTGGGTGGACCGCCATTGAAGCAACTTATACAAGCTGATAGACCTTGTGGGGCTCTTCCAAGCACATCCAAAAAGGAGCTTCCCATGGTAGATCTAGAACAATCTGTAGAGATTATATTTTCCACCTCCCTAGGGCATGCCCTTGAGATTTTTTTTCTAGTATTTAGATCTGGGTGAGCCTCCGATCCCAATTAGTATAAATGAGCCCCACAGATTTTTTTTATGGAGGTAGTACCTTGATCTGTAAAGTATGTTTTTGTATTATTATTAGCCGGTAGGTTTTAAGCTTACTCATATTTTATTGTCTACTTTCAGAACCTCAGAGGGATTTTAATAGCAGAACAGGAGGAAACTATGTTACTGATGAGATCTGGAGGAAAGCAGGTACATGTTCTTAACTATGATAATTTAGGAGAAGAGCATCGCAAAGGATTATTCACACCAGATATGTATGTTTTAGTGCAAGTTAAAGTCTAATTAAAGATTCAGCTACCAAATATATTTTCAATTAAGGCTACATGAACACTGTGATTCCTGTTATCATCTTCATAACAGAACCTCAGCTCAGGTCCAAACTCCCCCCCCCCCCCCCCCCCCATTCTTAGGCAGCAGAGGAGGACTGCTACTTTGTGTGAGTATAGGTCTCTCCAACATGGCACTGAATTAAAGCTCTTAAAGCTCACATTCCCTGCTGATTGCAGACCTCTGGCTTTGACTCACTGGGGATAGGGGGTGTTCCAGACCCCTGCTGCTGCTTAGACACGGATAGCAGGGGTCCTTCTCTGCTGCCTGGGGGAGAGGAGTTTGGACTGACACTGAGACATTGAAGCATCATTTTTTATGAAGGGTAAACTATATATTTTTTTAATACACTTTAGTTAGGCTTTAACACATGCAGGTTTTTGTACATGATTTGTGAGGGACCCCATTTAATTGACTTTAATATGAATGTGTCAAGGCACAGAAATGCAGATCTTTATACCAATGTGCCTCCATGCTATGGATGAATGGGCCCTTAGATGGATTGAGGTTGAAGATGAGGGATTTTTCCATATCCATTAATTTTTCTATGTCCTAGAAAATGCAGCACGATCTATGACAACCTCTGGTGTGAATAAGCCTCAGAATTGCTGTAGTCGGCTGACTGCCGACTGAATGAGTGACTACAGGATTATAGAGACACCTATAGAAGATCAGCTAAAATGGACTATATAATGGCCCAGTTCCTACACTCCAAAGTTTTTCATTTGCATTGGCAAATGTAATTGGTTGAAAATCTTTGCCAAAGTCAATATTCAAATATTGAGTGTATGTTGTTCAAATATCACCCATTCCATATCACCAAACAGGTTAAAGAAAAACTCCTGAGCCCTCTTTATTTGGAGTGTATAGTTTAGTAGATAGGCTAATGTTTTGCAAAATCCAACACAAAACTGTTCATTTCTGAAATTGCTTGAGGGCTACATGGAAGAAGTAACAGAAATTCTGAAGCTGGCTGAGGGCTACATGGAAGAAGTAACAGAAATTCTGAAGCTGGTTGAGGGCTACATGGAAGGAGTAACAGAAATTCTGAAGTTGGTTGAAGGCTAAATGGAAGGAGTAACAGAAATTCTGAAGCTGGTTGAGGGATACATGGAAGGAGTAAAAGAAATTCTGAGGCTGGTTGAGGGCTACATGGAAGTAGTAACAGAAATTCTGAAGCTGGTTGAGGGCTACATGGAAGGAGTAACAGAAATTCTGAGGCTGGTTGAGGGCTACATGGAAGGAGTAACAGAAATTCTGAGGCTGGTTGAGGGCTACATGGAAGGAGTAACAGAAATTCTGAGGCTGGTTGAGGGCTACATGGAAGGAGTAAGTTGTTTTAAATGCGGCTCCAAAAATCCACTTGAGCATGACCTATCTACACTATACCTTTTTTAAATAAACCCCAATTGGCATACTGAGAATTTGGACATTCCCTTAACAGTGTCTTGTGCAGTGTCTAAGTCTTGCCCAGTAATAATCTTTTTGTTCAACAATAAAATACTAAGCAAAATTTTGGAGGTTTACAAAGAAAATTGTAAGATGCTTTGTATCCATCATAGCTTAGTTGTAACATGTAAAGTGCTATAACTTCCTGTTCATCTTTTCCAGAGGAGGCTGTAAATGAGGTGAAGAGGCAGGCCGTGTCGGAGGTACAGAAGGCTGTATCTGAGGCCGAACAGAAAGCATTTGAGATGATTGCATCAGAGAGGGCCAGGATGGAACAGACTATTGCAGATACAAAGAGGAGAGCAACCGAGGATGCGTTCCTGGTAGTAAACGAGCAGGAGGAATCAACTGAGGTATGAATCAAGCTGCATTACTCTACACTTTTATCATATGAGTGTGTAAAGGTAGTATTGACTTTTTGAGCCATTAACCTGCTGCAATGTGTTTGGTATCATTATAGTGTTTACTTAAACCCATTGACCTGAATGCTAACGCCAGTATTCCCAAAGATCTTAAAGTATATCTAAAGCCAATTTCTTTTGTATTGTAAGTTTTTGGATAGAGAAGGGACTGATTAAATCCACAGGCTTTTTTTGTCTGTGTTCTGTTGGGAATTTTCCATTACTTCTAGTCCTTGAGATATAAACAAAGAAGTAAGTGGAACATTTATGTTTTTCCTAAATACAGAAACCTTCAGGCTTTCTCACTTTACTATAAACTAGGGATGCACCGATACTAGTATCGGTATCGGTGCCAACAACGAGTATTTGAGCGAGTACTCGTAATCACCCAATTACTTCTGGTCAGAGGGAGATTTTCTCTGACCGTTAGTGCCATGAGGGAACATGGATTTGGGAAGCCGGCTCCATGCTGATTGGCCGGCTTAGTGCTAATTGGCCTGGAAGCTGCCTTCCCAGCCAATCAGCATCGGGCCGGCCAAACAGATCTGATAATATGGTGACACAACCTCCACCCTGCAGACACCTCATTCCCCTCACATCGATCCTCACCAGCAGTCATTACCGTACCAGTTCCTCGGCCAGCTGGGCAGATACCGCTCTCTCGCATCTGCCCACGTCCCCTGTGCACAGTGCCAGCACCGCCCACTTGATGTTAGAGGATTTCTGAATTTTCTGTGTGCAGTCTGCGCAGTAGCAGGCTGAGGGCCGATCACGCAGGTGGTGCGGGCGCTGTACACACAAGAGACTTGGGCAGATCCTGGAGAGCGGTGTCTGCCCAGCTGGCCGGAGGACATCTGTGGTACGGTAATAACTGCTGCTGAGGATAGATGTGAGGGGAATGAGGTGTCACAGGGTGGAGGTTGTGTCACCATATTATCGAATCTGTTTGGCCGGCCTCAATGCCGATTGGCTGGGAAGCCGGCTTCCTGGCCAATCAGCATAGAGCCGGCCAAACAGCATGGAGTCGGCTGCCCAGGCAATCAAGAAGCTGGGCGGTGGGTAATGACATGCCGCCTGGCTCCCTGATTGCCCAGGAAGCCGGCCCTGTGCTACCGGAAGTACCGATATCAGTACTCTGTATCGGCAAGTACCGAAATGTAAATATCGGTACTCGATACCGAAAAAACGGTATTGGTGCATCCCTACTATCAGGGGCGTAGCTAGAAATCACAGGGCCCCATAGCAAAATTTTTTATGGGGCCCTGTGATTTCTCGTTACACCCCTTGCAGAGCCCAACTGAGATCCCACACAGCCCACCTGAGAGTGACCCTGCAGAGCCCACTATAGACTCTCTATGTTGAGCTCTGCAGGGTCTCAGGTGGGCTGGTCACACCCCTTACCTGTCCGCCCCGATGCGCTGTCTGCCTCCACGGTCGCTGGTGGGCCCTGCCTCCTCAGTCACCAGGCCCCGCCTCCTCAGTCACCAGGCCCCGCCTCCTCCGCCGCTGTAGAATGGACCTGTCATTTTGCCCATTCATGGCATTGCAACAAGTTTGCTTTACTCCCCCTATACTCTTTACTCCCCCGCCACTCAGCAACATGAGCGGAAGGAAGTATCCAGTATTCTGGGTATGGAGCAGTATAAGACTCACTCCATGTGACAGTGCCGGGCCAATCAGCACTGTCATACAGGCAGTCTTTAGCCTTTCAATACTGGTGGCTCAATGGAGGAGGGAATGAAAGGTGAGAATGTGCTGCTGGGGAGGTCTGCATTAAAAAGAGACTGTTGCTTTACCCTGCATGGGGCACGTTAAAGGAAATTGATGCCGGTGGAACATAGTAGGTTGCCATTGCTGTCCTCACTTTCCTTTAAAGAACAACTATACTTTTGATCCAGCCCTCCCTCTTAAGCCTAACCTAGAACCCTTCCAACTTGGTGCATACATAATTCTGCATGACAGGAGTGGCCAACCATGGTGTTTACATCCTCCATGCCAAAATCTCCTCTGCTGCTGGCTTTGCCAACAGACATGATTGGAACCATGCTTCTACAGTAGAGATGCTAGAAGTATGGTTCCTTCCAAGTCTATAGGGTGTTACAGTACTTCTGTAGGCAGGGGCAGTGCCATAGGAGATTTCTGCACAGAAGATATAAACAGAGCAGGAGCCTTACAGTGGGGTAAT